CCAATCCATGGCTTATTGTAGAATCTTTAATAAGCCTTTATACTTAAAGCCTTTAAAACCCAGAAGCCCATCGCTTACAACTCAAAGGTATGGGCTTTTAAGATTTTGCCTTTTTTTTACATGAGGTTCAAAAGCCTTAATTTGAAACTCAGAGGCGACAATACTGAGTCTTGTTCTCTGCTGTGTGTTTCTTTTCCTGTGGCACTAGCTTTCTCACGGAACTGGTAGGGGGAATAAGTGTGGCGAGGACAAGGAAGTAGTGTTAAATGAGGACACTTGATTAGTAGTTGGAAAGATATTCTGGTTCTCTCTACTTCCGTCTTCACAGGTAAATAAACAAGAACTGCATATGCTTTGAGAAATAGGAAGTCCATGGTAAATCACATCATTTTGTGTTAATAAAATACAACTATAAGAAGACCTTTTACTGAAAACAAAGAAAGGCATAATGAGGGAAGTGCAGCCTTACAACCTCTTTTTCATACCATAAACCTTTTGGTCTTCTAGAGCTCCCTTCCACATATTTGTTTTAGGGAAGCCTTATTATAGTTTCCTAATTAACCAACCCTTGAAATATTATTTAATGAAAGAGAGAGAACTTCAATTTGCGCTTCTGGCATAACCTACAAGATATATGCTTCACTCATGAAGATAAAGTTGAGAAGTGAAATTGCATAACTTATACTGTTCTTATAAAAATTTTATTAACATGTATAATTTTTTTATTTCATTTTAACATATGTAAGTTAAACTTTGTATAAACCTAGTTTGCAATGAACTATACATGGAGAAATGATATATTAGGAATATTTAAACATTGTTACTTTTAGGAAATATGATAAATTTAAAATTACTCCTAATGCGGGATATGTAGGCATTCCTATGATCCCATTAGAAAATTTAGAGTAGAACAGAAAAAATTTTCAATTTCTTCCTCTTTTTTATTTTACTCAGCTTTCCATGTTTCACAGAACAAACTATAAAAGAAAATATGTGAAATGTCACATACATATTAAAGTAAAAGTCTGAATTTTTTTAAATGGCCAACCTATTCTTACATTTTATATACTAATTCTTTTGCAATAACAAACTTTAAATTTTAAAAAAAATATTAATCGATTTCACATTCAGTGTGATATCTTTCAGTTGTCAGTAATAGCTCTGTACAATGGAGAAGAAACAAGATAAAAAGAGGTTAAAGATAGATTGATATATCTGCCTTCTTCCTCCTAGAGATTTTATTTAATTATATTTATCAGAGCCCAAGAAATATCGTAATTAGCTCTGTCTTAGCAAAAAGGTTTTATTTTATTTTTATACCAAAATCAATCTTGTTTACTATCCAAGCCAAATTGATAGCAAGAGTCACAAGAACCCAAGCCTCTTTTAGAAATAATTTTGGGGGGAAACATTAATGATATAAGATGGTTTTAAAACATATACTAAGTAATGAAAATATACTAAGTAATGAAAAGCTTATAAATAAGTGTGGCTAGTATGAGCTCATCTATACTTTTGGCTTGTAGAAAATGTTAAAGGCTGAAGCCAGTCTCCAAATTTAACTATTATAACTCGTTTACTCAATGTCCTCTCCTTACTTCCCCAGCAAACCTTATGTAGCTATGTAGAATTGGTTCTTCAACTTTTGAATTGGTTCTTCAACCAAGACAACCAATCAGTATTTCCCTCTATACTCTGCTGTTTTCAAACACCATTGCTGTGTCAGTTGGAAGCAAATAGGCATGAGAGGCAGACTGACTTTCAAATAATCTGTTGGGGACACAAACCACTGTGGCTAATTCCCACCCTAACATGTACAGCGACAGTCCTAGAAATTCTAAGGGACACACATAAAAGCCTCCAAACACAAAGCATTGATCCACAAGGTCCTCTGGTTCAAAAAGTTTGAGTCCTTTATTTCTGGTGTTCAGATATTTAGAATTATTGTATATGTTAACCTAGCTGAATGAGAGCTCAGTTGTCCACAGGTGCAGATGAAAAGAAATATACGAGCAGAAGCTTGCAGTGGAGAAAAGAGTTAGTTTATTAGTATTGGGTTCAATCCGGAGAAGGGTGAGCTAGTGTTCCAGAATACCTGACTTCTCCATAGGCTGCAGACATCATGTCATCAGGAGTAAGGGGTTTGGGGTCATGGGTGAAACTGATTGGTCAAGAGCGAGGTAAGGAAAGTAAATCATGAGGTTAGGTCTTGAGGTCAGCTTCAGAGTCCCTCAGTCTGGTTTTAGGGGGTCGTTTTGCTTTAGGGCTCAGGAGCTGAAATACAATTTAGGGCATGATGTTATCTTCAGCTTAATGAAACCCATAGCTGTGTCCATTACTTAGGGCCTGGCCATTGTTTCTTGCTGCCTCAGTAAGTGTCAGGGAACGGGCCGAGGCTTATGGAGCATGCTGTGAAGAAAGTGAATTGAGTGCTGGGGCTACATGTTACATTAAAATCATGCATTAAATCAGAACCCTCGATTTCACATAGTTTTGTTAATTACATGTCAAAGTAGTTTCTACAGACTGAATTATTTGAAAGTCACTGAAGACAAGGCATATGGCTAATATAAATGTTTATTATGGTGCTGTACCTTTTGCTGCCTTATAAAATAATAATAGTCTTTACTTTTCTACTTCCTACTTCATAGATCTGTTGGAGGAACACCTGTCTCGTTAGCTAATTATCTACATTGGTGCAAACAGCTTGGAAAATCTTATCATGGGACTGATGACATTGTGTTAGATACATGTTAAGTGGCAGAGAAATTTTGCTTTTTTATTTTTTTGCATGGAAGAATAGTAATTAAGATCAGTAGTCCATCTTTTCAACTCTACATAAGGACAACATAAGAGAGAAAGTTGGCAAAATATATTATAGTATGCTTTAAAATTTTTTTAAAAAAATTTCAGACTTATAGATGTTGGATAGTGTAAGAATCCCAATTCACCCTTTAATTTCTGAAATGTTAGCATTTTACCACTTTTGTTCATTCTTTCTCTTGCTGTTATATATGCTATTATCGGTGTAATGTAATAATATATATTAATAAATACACACATATACACATTATTTTTTTCCCGAACCATGTAAAAGTCAAATGTAAACATAATACACTTTTACTCCTAAATACTTCAGTATTTCCTTATGAAAAGACATTCCCTTATACATAACCATAGTATAATTTTCAAAATCAGAAAATTGACATTGATCATTAGTACTGTTATCCAATCTACAGTTTTTAAATTTGCCAATTGTCCTACTGTATTCTTTAATATAAAAGACATTTTTTTCTTGGTCCAGGATCTAATAATCTAATAATGTTGCATTTAGTCATCATGTCTCTTTAGTCTCCTTTGAGCTAGAACAGTTCCTCAGTCTTTGTCTTCATGACTGACATTTTTGAAGAATGCGAATTTTCCCCCAGTTTGAGTTTATCTTGTTTTTTCCTTGGGAGATTCAGTTTATGCATTTTTGGCCAGAGTACAACAGATGTGTTGTCATCTTACCAGAAGTCTAGAGGCCTTTGACACTTCCCTCCAAAAACTGTTTTAAAATTACCTTTTAATATTATATGGAAAGCAGAGTCAGAGATTCTCAAATTTGTCAAACTATTATAAGTGCTCTTACTAAATTTATTCTCCAGTGCTTTCTCTTAGGAAAATTTGTGGCCTTTTATTTAGCTTTTACAAGGTGGAAATTACTGAATAAAATCAGGATAGAGAGAGGAAGAAAAAGCTAGTGTACTCAAAGTTTTAAGTATAAGGTTTAAAGTATAAGTTTTATGTGAATGATTGTGAGTTATTGCAGGGATCGGGCCTTTAAACTCTCGGCCAAGAATGGTAAATCATTCTTGGAGTACTGCCAGAACACTGAAATCAATAAACTACTTTCCTTTTAGGAGTTTTACACCTTTCCAAGGCAAACATTCAAATGTATTGAATAGAGAGATAAGAGAGAACCCTGGTAGAAGTAAATAGACATTGAGTTTTATTAGTACAGTATTTAATATTATGTTGTTTAGAATATTAACCCTTTCTGTATTCTAGTTCCTACTACGTCTTTGAATTATTGAGAAAGAAAGAGCTTGGGACTTAACAGTATCATTTATTTGGCTCATAACAGTAATAAAAGTAGTCCTTAGTATTGGCATGGTGGCTCTTTGTACACCTCTGCCTTCCCGTTCATACCCCCCCCCCAATTGATTTATGATAATCTCTTGCTCTAATGTAGGCAGTGTTTATAGTGATTGGCGATAGTTCAGATTCTAGCTTTGCCAGAGGATAGTTTTGAGAAGTGACTTAACATTTATGATAGTTTATTTTTCTGTAAATACAAGAGAATGAGTCATTTTAAATCATCAGGCTGCAAGAGTCTTAAAGTCATAGAATAAAAAAACAGGTTTCTTGTGTTTTATTTTTACAGTGTTTGTTTAAACATTAGAATAGTGCCACTCTTTATATTCTATATCAACTAGTTGCGTTTGCATTAAAATGACACACTTCTAGATTAGTATTTTTGATATAAAATCTATATTACTACTACACAATTTGAAGGTGTAATTTGTAATCACTATGCTAAAATCACCTTTTTGAAATTATGTACCAGCTTTTCTAAATTCTTAGGGCTTTAGAAAAATTTCAAATGCTTCTTTATCTTATATATCTTAATTATAAGTGTAGCACCTATCGTATAGATATTTAATATTTAAAGATGACTTGTCGAAAGTTACTTCTCTGTGTAGAACTAGATCTATGAGACAAGCTTATTGTTGATACTGTAGTGTGAGTTTAAAAGGACAGGCCATAATCATTTTGCCTTATTTCCAGATATTATCCAATTTTAGATAATATTTCTTAATTTGGATAATGTTCTTCATTTCTTCTATTTTATTGTAATTATTTCAAGTGATACTATTACTAATGAACTTCAAAGAAGGTTGCATAGTTCACTATTGTTTCTCATAAAACATGCTCATTGTTTGTCTTTTGCTTTGCAGGAACTCATTATACAATGACAAATGGAGGCAGCATTAACAGTTCTACACACTTACTGGATCTTTTGGATGAACCAATTCCAGGTGTTGGTACATATGATGATTTCCATACTATTGATTGGGTGCGAGAGAAATGTAAAGACAGGGAAAGGCATAGACGGGTAAGTGTTTTAAGTAAACTTTTAAATCTGGTACATAAAGAGATCATTTAGTAATATATTTCTGCCAGTGATCTCAGGCTGCCAAAATATATATTATGCATTAAAATACATTTAAGCATTTTTTTGGTTTATTTATATCCCATATCTTTCCAAAAAGGATTTAGAGTTGCTTAAAATCAAAAAAGTGTATAATAAGACGAAAAAGGAAGGAAAGGGAAAAGAGGGCACATGAGTTTGAGCCAAGTTCAAGATTTGCAAGTCAGCATGATTTTTGGCTAGGATCAGCACAGCAGCTGAGGCAAAAGAGAAAACTTGTTGCATGATTATTGTTATTCAAAAAGAAGAAACTTACTTGGAAGACAGTTTTATGGAGTTTTATTGTTTTCTTTTATCACTTTTCTTGGTTTTAAATCAAGATATTTCTCAAATTAAGTCCTGTATAGGACTTATTGAGTATTGTAATGCATCACTAATTTAAAAAACTGCCTTTTACAACTTATGGATCTTTTTTTGTTGTTGATTATGACTTGTATAATGTAATTCAAAAATAAATTAAAAAAAAAAAAATCTCTGACAAAGTTTCAAATTCCAAAAGTCCTTTTAAAACTTTGCAATTTAAAATTTACTTGTAAATGAAAATAACTGCTTCTACAAATTAGTTATAACATTTCATATTAATGTATACATGGATTTTAAATCTGAAATTGGAATTAGATTATATCATTTATGAAAAGTACAGCTTCTGCAGTTCATCAGTCAGTATTTACCTTTTCTGGAAACATATAAATAGAATGTCACTGAAAATAAGACTCAGGACATGAAATTCGTGTTCTAATCCAGTGATTCTCAAACTTTTTTGTCTCTGATTCCTTTAAACTATAAACAATTATTGAGAATGCCTGAGGAGTTTATGTGGTTACATTAATTGGTATTTACCATATTAGATATGGAAACAGAAGTTTTAAAAATATTCATTTAAAATAACAATAACAAACTCATTTCCTGTTAACATAAAACATTTTTATGAAAAATAACAATATTTTCCAAAATAAAAAAATATTTAGCAAGGAGGTGGCATTGTGTTACTTTTTAATCTCATTGTCTGCTTTAATAAAAGACTGCTGGGTTTTAATATCTTCTGCATTCAATCTAAAACTGTATCAGTGAACTTTTTGTCTTCTGTTACATGAAAATACATTGGTTTACCTTGAACTTCAGATATTTGTAACATCGTGCAGTAATTGACCATTTGAGAACTATTGAGTCACTCCTTTATGCAGTTCTTTCAACTGTTGACGTTTTTCATTAATATTTAAAAAAATCACACTTGTTAATTTCAACACTCCAGAACAGTCTTTATTGGGACTCTGTTATCCTTACAGTGATGGATATAAGTTTTCCAAAATTCTAATTTTGACTTGAAAGCTCAAATTCTATCACTGGAACAAACGAACATTTAGTTTACTTGAACTGACAGGCTAACTTTTTTTTTTTTTTTTTGAGAAAATACCTATCAGATTCCCAAGTCTGAAAAACCATAGTTTGGTATCTTTTTTCAAGTTAAAATGGTGTCCCATATAAGTGTCTAGTTGATTTGCAATTCAAATAAATCACACAAGTGGATTTATTTCCTTGAGACATAACCTTGTATCTCAGTATGCATCAGAAATGATTTACATACATTTATGTCATTACACATGATATTAAAAAGACTCGGTGATCGAGGCATAATAATTTTACTGCTTTGTCAAAGACATTCTTAAGTGAAACTGGCACTGATTATTTTTACTGGCCTCCATGGCAGTGAAGAATGTAATGACTTCCAGTACATTTGAAGCTCCTGCCTCGATTCATACTGAGGAGCCAGCAGTTTTGCTGTTGCTTTCACATCTGTGAAAATGTCAACACAGCGAAAAAGGCATGTTATGTTTTACTATTATTATGAAAATAGATTTGACCGTGAAGACCCCTTGAGAAGGTCTCAGGAACCCTTGGGGTGTCTGTGGTCCATACTATTTTAATCCGATGTACCTAAATCAGACACACTATAAATCCTGTATCTTGTTTGATTGTTAAGTGACTATAACTATACTTCGAAGTGTATACATTTATGGAGTCATTAACATATTCAGGTTGGGGTTTAAAATTGAGACTGTGTGAAAGTATCCATAAGATACCATGTTCATAAAATTTTAGAGAAAATTGAAACTAAAAGAAACCAACAGCACACCTTTTTTCCCTCTGATTATAAAAGGAGTCCACAGTTCTTGAAAGCATTTTAAATAATGTAACAATATAAAGTTAATCATATCAATCATCTCTTTCTGGATAAATCAGATATTTTCAATACTTTCAACTGTGCTCATATGTATTAACATAAAATCTTATAAAGCCGGGAAACTCTACACATATATGTTCTTACTCTGGTTCTAAAACTTTAAATTAAAAAGAAAACTATTTCAGTGCATATACCTAATTCCTTTTTTCCCTAAGCTTTTTATTATACGTGTAGCCCTCCTACCCCCAATTATTTTAAAGCAAAGCAACATTATTATATAATTTTAGATATTACTTCGGTATTTTGCAAAGTGGTCGTAATCTAATTATCAGTCCTCTTTTACTTAATAGCTTGAATATTTCTATAAAGAGAACCCTATATGCATTATCTGGATTTCCTCAAGTCAAATTCTAGAGAAAAGGAGAAAGTTTTAAATCATATAGTTCCCTAGTATCCTCAGAGTTCACTGATGAGGTTTTTGTTTGCTTCTTTGGTTTTTGTTTCTATATGTTTATGCATGCATGGATTTAAACTTATTCGATATATTTTAATCATCACAGTTATACTTATTGATGTCCGTGTTATTCCATTTTGATTCGTGGGAGTTTATTTTGGTTGGTGCATGTGTCTTTCGACACATCTTTAGTAGACTTAGATGTATTCTGGAAAAAACAAGATGATTTTTATCTTATCTTACACATTTCTTGCACTAAACCTGGAGTCAGCCATTCCTCCAAGAGCTCTGGTTCCTTTGGAGAAAAATCGTGTATAGGCAGTCTGGACATTGGAGATACTTATTCTTTCTGGGTTGGTCATTGCTAGCCTTTTAAGTTTATAGCAACCTTCCAATTTAAATTCAATATTATAAGGCTTTTATTTAACCTTTAGTCCTAAAATCTGTATCTCCTATTAGCCATGACCAAAATCTCAATATCATATACATAATCATTTAATTTACCTCACAAGACACACACAACAATTTCAGAATAATATCACCAACACTATCCCCAGCCGTGTGCTTACTGAAAAGTTTTAGTGTTTTCTTTTTTCACAATACTTTTTGCCCTTAGTGTTTATCCCACTAGAATTAGGCATACTAATTACTTTGTTTTAAAGTCTCCATCCCTTTCAACCTGTTGCCTTCCTCCTCTTCTAAGTAATGATTTACATTTTAAATTTTATGGTTCACTCCTTTAATTTTTAAAGTATAAGCCTATGTATTTATATACTTATCTTTCTTGTATAAACAGTAGCATACTGTATCTACTTTTATCTAACTGCATCACACTGTGTCTTTTTCCTTTGCATCATTCTGTATCTTATTTTTTTAATGGCTGCAGAATTTTTTTTATTAACTAAATGTACTGCAATTTACTTAACCATTACTATATTGATGAGCATTTAGATGATTTCCAAGTTTTTAATTAATATTATCATTTATTAAATATCAGCTATTTTTATTGAGAAAAGGCAACATAGAGTTTAATGATTATTTTCTAAAGAAATGATCTCTCTTCAATCCTAAAGAATGATTAATATCTATGACTGGTTGCTGATAGTATAGAAAGGGTAAAATTGTCTCATTCAACTTAGAACTTTCTGAGTCTTTTTAATGAGACCCTGTGACTTAAAATAGATAGGACGTTTGAAATAGACCAGACCATTGACTCCCGCTGTAACCTTCCTATGGGACAGCTGAGCACTGAAGTCCTACGTTGAGAATATTGCTTTTTTTCTTCCCTTACCCAACTTCATCTATGTGCTGATGGTAATGTAGTTCCTAGAATATTGCTTTTTAAAAACAGGAATCTTAGTAAAACAGAAAAGGTTAAGGTTTTAGGTTTAGACATGCATTCTTCCTGAGAGAGACAAGTCTTGGCTGCTTCTGTCTTAGTTGAGTGAGATCCGGAAATCAAATCTGTTAACGTCCTGCTAATCTCACCTCTACTTTGGTAGAGGACATTTCTTCCTTGATCCTCAGTGATTGAAAAAAACAAAAAACAAAAAAAACCCCCTCAAAGTCTGAGGTTCTTGTTAAAAGTACAGCTCTCTGGGTAAACATTTGTCATCTGGTTTACAGGTATAGCAATCGATAGCGGTCGTGCCCCAAACTCACCTTCCCATCATTTAGTTTAGAAGGAACTGTCCTGTATAGAGTTACTGAGAAAAATTGTTAGATTCTAGAATTGTGGCTTCTGTTTTTAATTTGAAAATGAAGCATAAACATTTCTAATTTCAGATCAACAGCAAAAAGAAAGAATCAGCATGGGAAATGACAAAAAGTTTGTATGATGCGTGGTCAGGATGGCTGGTAGTAACACTAACAGGTTTGGCATCAGGTAAAGAAAACTTACAATGCAATCCTTTTCTCCTTAACAGAACAATAAATATTTCTCTCCTCTTTCCCACAGTTTTTTTTTCCAGGTACTGTTGGATTTTTAAAAGTATTTTTTGATTTCTTTCCTTCAAAAACTCTTCTTAAATATAACACTAGAAGGCAGGAGGCTTCCGCATCTCGTCTTAGCTCTGTCACTTTAACTGTCTGTCCAATTATTATTATTATTTTTTTATCTTTCTGAGCTCAGTTTCTGTATCTATAAAGTATGTGGTTTAGACCAGATGATCAATAAAATATTTTCTAGTGTTAACATCATAATAAATAGCTAATATTTATTGAGTGCTTCCTACGTGTCATGGCCTATTCTAAAAGCTTTACATATTTGTAAACCTCATGACAATCCTATAGTACATGTGTTGTGATTACTGCCATTTTATAGATGAGGGGACTGAAACACAGAGATGTTAAGTATTCTGTCAGTAAAATGATCTTGATATATTTGATTTTTATTTGAGAAAATGAAAACTGATCACAGTAATTCATTAATGGTATTAGTTTCACTAATTATTTTTAATGAATATTAAATTTAATGAGATTGTAAATCTATTAAGTTTTAGATTGAAACTCTGACTTCAGTAACCAGATTTGTGAACCTCCTGCAGACAGCTGTCTTTTGAAGATGTTTTAGTCTTTTTAACACCTTTTTTTAAAACTCACAATTAATTTTAATAATATAACTAGTTTTAATCCCAAAGAGAGAGAGTTTTATTTTCAAGAATAGCTATTTACTATTTTTAAAAGTAACATAAACTTATTGATAATTAAGGTTTGACAATATTAAATTCATATAATATTCCTTACGTGACCTTTTTTTATAGAGAGTCCCCTGCTTTCCTTGATCCTTTTAACTTGATAGTTCTTAATTCCCCAAAAATGGGCTTAATTTTTTTTCCCACCTCCAACATATTTTTTTAGGGGCATTGGCTGGACTAATAGACATTGCTGCTGATTGGATGACTGATCTGAAGGAAGGCATTTGCCTTAGTGGGTTGTGGTACAACCATGAACAATGTTGTTGGGGATCTGACGAAACAACATTTGAAGAGAGGGATAAATGTCCACAGTGGAAAACATGGGCAGAGTTAATCATAGGTCAAGCAGAGGTGAGTCTTTCTTTGTCTCGAGATGAATTAATAATCAGTATAGTGAAATGATCATTTAAATTATTTAATTATAGCATTAATGACATTAGATGATTGCAACCTTAATTAAAGGAAAAAAGAAAGAAATGGAATATGATAGAATGGAAAACATGAGAATACATTGCAGCAAGTAAAATATAAGTATTTCAAGAAGCTCTTGTTTTAGTTACATAGTCACATACAAATTTAGTGGGTTATGACGTAAATGTTATTTCTTATTGTAGAAAAGTGCAATAGGATCTGTGTAACCACAAGAAGTTATGAAGTTAAGTTATTAAACTGCTGGATGCATTACATTGTGATTATTCAGGAAGTATGAATTATCAAAACACTCAGTAAAATAAGCCTTCTGACTAGAATTACCCATAGATTTTTTTTCATGCCATTATAGTATTGCAATGATTATTTTACTGTTCTTGATGTACTGTAATGAACATTTTAGAAGTTAGAATATTACATAATATATACATATATTATTACATGATTATATATGGATATGTTTTTTAAATTTTGTTATAGCTAAATTTTAGAGATTGAAGTATAGCTAAGATTCTGGACAAGTCTTTAGGGATCAGGAAAAAGTCAGGAAAAACTTCAAATAGCTTAAGGCTCCTTGGTATGTATACAAATATGTCTTTTGATTCTACTTAAGTATTTTATTCATGTAAAGCTTTTATTATTGTGGAAGTAAACCAGGAACCTTTAGATGTTTTATGCAAGTTTCTTATGAGGCAAGCATTTGCAGTATAGGTACACTGTAAATTAAATTAATCCTATCAAACTCTTTGCTTTTTAGGGTCCCGGTTCTTACATCATGAACTATATATTGTACATCTTCTGGGCTTTGAGTTTTGCCTTTCTTGCTGTTTCCCTGGTAAAGGTATTTGCTCCATACGCTTGTGGCTCTGGAATTCCAGAGGTAAGCCATGCAATATTTAGTAGCTTTAAACATTTAGTAATTGTTATGATGCTGCTCTTTTTGCCTTGGGGGGGGTGGGAGGATGTTTGTTTTTCTTGAGAAATTGTTTGTAATATGAAAAAGAAAAGTTAAAAAAATGTAAGCTTATTGTAGACATCATTGAAAAATTCTTCCCTGTAAGTCATTTCATCATTTACTATAGAGGTTGACTTTTTTTTTTTTTCCCTCACCACTAATTTAGCACATGACTAAACAAATATCAGAAGACTTAGTTAAACCTTAAGAACCTGGAAAAATATTCTGTGGCCTAAAGTTCTTTGATGGATTAGTTGATGTTTTGCTTTTAGGAACTCAATTTAGTTACATTCATTCGCTTTCTATAACTATCTTTTAATTAAATAAGTTAATAAATCTTGAATTTGGAAGATAATATTTACAACCATTTTATACTTTCAAATAAACATTTGATCATAGCAGGTTAGTAGCACAAACTCTTGGGTTATACTGTTTATCAACAATAAAGGAGAATATAGTTTGAACATAATTTTAACTCATTGCTTTCCCCTTTTTATTTTTGTTCTAAGTAAGTTACCAGTTTTTCTTAGTTCATTTATTTTAACATCTAAATAGTAGTAATTTTTAAAGCTTATTAGGAATGTCATTAATAAGGAGCGATATCATGCAGTATTTAGCAGTTGTCACTCATCCTTGATGTACAGGAAAATATTACACAAAATTGTGGTACTCTGAGAAGGCATAATATCTTTATTTCTGACACAGAATTCTGAAATGTACCTAACTATATTATATTTCTGCACAGAAATATTCAAATTTGCTTTATTCTGGTTATGTACTTATGACCCTTGTATTAAGTTCTGTCCTGTAATGTGACCTGATATTTTAGTTTTGCTTGTGAGATAGATCGTTTCCTATTCTTGCTTGGGAAGAGAATTAGAATATGAAATAGGTTTATTATAGATATCATAATAGTTAAAGCTTTTGAAAAGTTAATTGTGACTTGTTCTATAGTCCACCAACATTTACAAGGTAGTGTTGCGAGTTAAACAAGAGAGTAACTTAAGTTTGCATGTTTCTTAAAGGACATTAAGATGCCTTAATCTTTCCTTTGTAGATTAAAACTATTTTGAGTGGATTTATCATCAGAGGTTACTTGGGAAAATGGACTTTAATGATCAAAACCATCACGTTAGTACTGGCTGTGGCATCAGGTTTGAGTTTAGGAAAAGAAGGTCCCCTGGTACATGTTGCCTGTTGCTGTGGAAATATCTTTTCCTACCTCTTTCCAAAGTATAGCACAAATGAAGCTAAAAAAAGGGAGGTAAGTGTCTTTTGTAATTTATTTGACATATACATATCAGTGATACAGACTTATATCAGTGAGGAATTTCTGAGTGTAAAGATCACATTTTACCCTATTTTTTGGATAAATTCTATATTCAGATGAAAATTTAATGTGAAAATTGCTTCTCTTCCCTTTGCCAAATAATTGCCGATGTCTTTCTAGAATCCATCCCCAGTGCTGCTCAGTTACCTGCATATTTTCAAGAAGTTTTAGATTGACTTCTGGTGTCCATTGGTTTCAGTTGAATTTCACAAAGGTCTTTGCATTCGTTTTTGCTTTGCCTTACATCTCTCCTCTGAAATGTTTCCAAAATGTGGCATTATTTTTACTCTTCTCACCTTTGGTATTTCTCCAGGGTTGAGAAATCTTAACAACTGTATTTTCCTCTGGAGGAAGTGTCTAATGCCAGTGCGAGTGCTGTGTCATCTACAGAGAGCTATCTGGCACCATGGGGAAGTTCTAAGGGCATCTAGGATCTCCTAAGGTTTAAATCAGAGATTCTCATTAAAGGGGGTTTAGAAATTCTTCTTTATTCAGCGGGGAAAGTATACTGACTTTGTTTATGAATTTTAAAAAAATCTGTTTCAAGTACAAAAAAAATAAAGGGAATTATAGTGCTTCTGCTCTCTGGACTTCTGGTGAAGAAGAGATGGCTAACGCTTTTTTTTTTTTTTTTTTTAAGGCCAACCTAAAACCATCTAGATATTTAAACTTTATATATTATAGAGTTTCCTTGGTGTTCTAGATTGCTTTGGATATTTTCTAAAAGGAAAGCGAGCCCTTGAGATCTTCTGTGTTAGCCCTAACTTTGGAGGCCCAATCCCTTCCTGTTTTCCCCATCTAATCTTCAGCCCTAGATGATACAGAGCTCTTTGAGTTTGTAAGGTATGATATTTTTATATATCATTAAATGCTGAGAACTCAGGAGTCTCTGGGCTTAAGACAGGACCTTTTATCCTGTTGTTTTTATAATACAATGAAAATGTAAAATATTTTCTATCAAATTATTTAATTCCTCAATTGAAATAATTCTAGTTTATTTTAATGTTAGCTCTAAAACATTGGCAGTAGATAGTCTTAAAGTAGAACATTTCAGAGCATCATTGTTCTATCTCTGAATGACAATTGTGATTCCAATATTATCCTATAAACAAAAATAACTACTGTTAATTACTATGTATCTGGTTCTGTGGCAAGTACTTTACTTGAATCTTAAAATTTAATTCCACAGTAATCCTATTTAACTTGGCACTATTATCTTCATTTAAAGAGAGGAAACTAGAAATTAAAGTGGCTAACTTTTGCCTAAGATTACAAAGCACAGTGTCAGTGTGGATTAAAATTTGCTTTACTCCAACTCTAAAGTCTATACTCTTAACTATTATACTACTGCTACTATGACTGTGTGGATATATCTTTGTGTGTGTTAAAAACAAAACCAAACCTAAAACTCTACTATAATGTGGCAAGTTAGTGGCTAAGATGGAACTATAACATTTGTCTCCCTAGTACAATTCCTTCACTTGCTATTGTACCTTGACATTTTTGGGATAAGATTTTTTTTAATTCACTATAAGTGAAAAAATGTAGTTTATTAGAATCTGTTATAAAATTTAAATTCACCTAAATTTTAACGTACACACTATGATGATTAGTAAGATTTATAACATTAATTTTATTCTGTCACCTTAGTATGTACATGTCTAGAGTTCACTTGTGAGTTGAAAGCAGTAAGGCCTCATATTTTGGCTTTCTTCCTGTGCTCACTTCCTTGATGTTTTTTAATTAAATGATTCTTAGATGCTTATAAAACAGATCAAAACGTGTGTGAGTTATAGGCACATGGATGGGTGTTAGCTTGATTATAAAATTCTATTATATTAAATGTAGAATCAGAGAGTTAAATCTGTTGTCTACAGTCCTATTAGTGGGAAAATACAAAATAGTAAGTTAAATTTGCTCTCCATCCTTCCCCAAGTAAGCAGTCTGCATTCTTAAAGCCAGATGCTATTTAATTAAAACAAATATTTGTTTATTTTTAATATATCAAACAAAGCTTATGTACTTTGTGCTCTAAACCACTTGTAATTTAATTCTGATGATTTCTAATTTCTCTTTCAGAATGTGAAAATTTACCAGTTGAGGAAATGCTTTGGTAGCCTCAGATATTTCCTGGAGTAAAGTAGTGAAAGGAATAAAGACTCTTAGAAAAGTAGTTACACATAAATGCCCAGTGGATTTATATGTGTAGCTGGCTTCACACTGGCAGGAAGTGGGCAATGTCCAAGTGAAAGCCCATGGAGTTGGAGAGAGGCTCCATATGTGCGTTTGTGGATTTTTTCTCTTCCTTGAACTTTCTTGTTAGGGGTTCGCGTTGGTGAGACTGTATCATAAGGAGTAGCCTTTCAGAGTGAGGCTCACTGTATTGGCAGTGCCAGTATTTTCAGAGGATTTAGAGTAGAGAAAATATAGGGAAACAAAATAGGTTTTAAGTTCCCTGGATATTTTTGTAGGATATGGAGTAGAGTAATTAATGATGATGCAGTTCTAAAATCTGAAGAAATAATGTCCTATTTAAAAATAAGGAAACAACTCTCCCTTCAAACCCCGGTTACTTCTCTCCCTACTAGTCTTCACAAACATCTTGAAAATTGGCTGTATTCATTGCCTCTTCTTTATATCTCATTTACATTAGTTTATCCCGCACAAATGTTTTTTGACTGAATACTGAATATATGAATGACCTTTTAATTAAAGCAGAAGAAAAAAAATATTTTTAGAAGAAATAAATATTTTCCTTTGCCTGCGGAAGAGGAAGACATGTGAGATAAATTCAGAAGAGGCATTTTGAAAATTAAAGTAACACGAAGAATTTTTATTTGGTATAATTTTGAATTTATAAGAACATATGAAATAAGCCACATCCTCTTTTTAGGTGCTATCAGCTGCCTCCGCTGCAGGTGTTTCTGTAGCTTTTGGTGCACCAATTGGAGGAGTTCTTTTTAGCCTGGAAGAGGTAGGTAAGAAAAAATACAGCAGTTAAAATGATGTATAATTACTCTTACAAATATATTTTGGCACACTTTCCAGTTTTATAGCTAGTGTAATGTTAATAGGTACAGATTTTGTTTTTAAGATTTCAAATTTATTTTCATAGTTATTTTTCACCCTTACATAAAAAATGTAGTATACTATATAGTTCTTTACCTTGGGAAAAATCTTTTTAAAAATATTATTCATGTATAAATATTAGTGATTATTTAAAATTTAACTTGGATGTATTTAAAAGTAACTAGATATGAATTCGACTTGGAAAAATACTTAAAACAATCTATCTCTGTTAGCTGAGATATAACCTGTGTTTTTATTTAAAAATTTTTGATGAATCCTAAATGGTCTTGTAAGTTTTTCTTTTGTGATTATTTCTGTTGTTATTATTGATGTTTAAGGAGATAATTTTAGTTGCTTCAGTGGAATATTTTATTTTTCTTTTCTTTTTGGTCCTTAAGACTTTTATACTTTTACACAAAAATATAACTAGAAAACAGAAAAAGTTTTCTTTTCCAGTTATTTGTGCTCTTTTCTCTTTTATACTTAATATAGAAGAGGTAAATTAAATAGTTCTTTTTGAGCTAACATGAGTTGGTGCCAGTATATTTATTCTTAACTATTATGATTGAATTGGAATTGAAATTCATGTTGAAAATAAAACAATGCTAGGTATTTTAAATAATTATTAGACATTTATGACCAGTTCATATTGTGAATGTATACTGGTATGATAGTCAAGTTAATAAAAACATCAGTATTTTTCTTTCCATGATAAAATCCATTACATTTAAATTCTATTTGCAGCAAAATTTAGAGCTATACTATTTACCATCCAAGTTATAACCTGTCAGAAATATCTTATAAAATTATAGCATTAATTTTTCTTCCTTTTTTTTTTTAGGTTAGCTATTATTTTCCTCTTAAAACTTTATGGAGATCATTTTTTGCTGCTTTAGTGGCTGCGTTTGTTTTGAGATCTATTAATCCATTTGGTAATAGCCGTCTGGTCCTTTTTTACGTGGAGTATCATACACCATGGTACCTTTTTGAACTGTTTCCTTTTATTCTCCTCGGGGTATTTGGAGGGCTCTGGGGAGCCTTTTTCATTAGGGCAAATATTGCCTGGTGTCGTCGACGCAAATCCACCAAATTTGGAAAGTATCCTGTTCTTGAAGTCATTATCGTTGCAGCCATTACTGCTGTGATAGCCTTCCCTAATCCATATACCAGGCTCAACACCAGTGAACTGATTAAAGAGCTTTTTACAGACTGCGGTCCTCTGGAATCCTCTTCTCTTTGTGACTACAGAAATGACATGAATGCCAGTAAAATTGTTGATGATATCCCTGATCGTCCAGCAGGCCTTGGAGTATATTCAGCTATATGGCAGTTATGCTTAGCGCTCATATTTAAAATCATAATGACAGTGTTCACTTTTGGTATCAAGGTAAGTGCTGATGTGGGGTGATATGTAAGTAATCTTGGCATATTCAAAACATGTAGAATGAGAAATGAAATTTTTATCTAAAGGTGGTTTTATAAATGTAGGCTGGAACATTTTTATCTGTTGGGTTTAATTTTAAGTAATGAAAAAAAATTCCTTAGATTATGTTGTTGAGCATGGTATCTGTTGCTTTGTAACAAATTACCCCAAAACAGAAGCTTAAGATAACTACTTATTTTGCTCTTGATATTGGTCAGTGATTTAGGAAATACTTAGCTGGGCATGTTTTGTTTGGTGTCTAGTACAGTTGTCATCAGACACAGCTAGGACTGGTCAGCTCATAGATGTTCATTTGTCTGGCACCTGGGCTGAGAAGATTCAAGCAATCGGAACTAGAACATCTGGGCTCCTAGAACATCTCTCTCTCTATGGTTTTTCCAGCATGGTGGCCTCAGGGTAGTTAGATTTCTAACATGATAGCTCAGGATTCCTAAAGCAAGTATCCCAAGAGGACCATTCCTAACCTAGCCAAAGAAGCCATGCAGCGTGCCTTCTGTTGCATTCCATTGTCTAGGCAGCCACAAAGACCACCCAGATTCAGGGGGGTGGGGACGTACACTCTACCTCTTCGTGGGAGGGATGTCAGAGAATCCATAATTATGCTTCAAAACCATTTATGTTAGTTTCCTATTCCTGCTATAATAAATTACCACAAACCTAGTGGCTTAAAATCACACAAATATAGTTCTGAAGACCAGAAGTCCAAAATGGGTCTCCCTGGGCTAATATCAGGGTGTTCACAGGGATTTATGGAGGTCCTGGGGGTAAGTCCACTTT